ACTGCCTTGGCCTATGACACATCTGAACACTCAATATTAAATCCTGCTTTACTGAAAGAAGAAGTTAAGGGTCACTGACTATCTGGAGACTCTTTCATCAATGGTTTTGGTTCAAAATAACCATTCTCTCCAAATAGCAATTTTCTTCTAAATTTACAATCTTCAGACCACTCATCTAGAAACATCCTGTCATCACATATTGCACCTGCAAGGGTTAATCACCAAATGGAAGGGTACTTCAAGCAGGGATCAGAAAGCCACAAATGCTGGGCTTTAATCCCTCACCTTGCTACCAGTTTTCTCCATGGCCTTTGGTAAACACAATCTCACTGTGAAAGTTTATGCATCTACAAAAACTGGGGTATATTTAGCTTTATGACCCTAAAGATGTAACTGCGAGATTATGTTCAGAATGCCATATAAAATGTGCTTTAAAAGATTTCCAAAACAAAATATAACTTACTGACCAACCTTAGTTGTTCACAGATCACCAATTGCTTAAAACTAAATTTCCATTTTTATTTCTAGAATCAAAATTACTTTTTATTTCTACTTCTTACAAAATATTTCCTGTGCACTCCACAGACGAGCAGATCTGTTTATATACACAAATGCGGTATTAAAGACTTGGCTAAGACTACTTCTTAATTTCACAAAGGGCATGGGGAAAAAACCAACCACCACCAATAAAAACACCACACATAGTAGCAGTAAGTTTCCTTCATTAAAAAACTCATTTTTAACAACAACTTGAGAGAAGAAATAAGAAACGTCCTACATGAGCCACTTCTTAGGAGTCTATGCTATATGAACAAACATTACTACTGATGCAGAGAACTTGGTCTACAAACACGGCAAGCTTTATTTTACAGCAATCTGGACCTCGGATAAATGTAAGGATCAAATTTAATGTCTGTATAGCTGGGATTTACAAGTGTGTTATTTTGTAACTTCTCTTTGAAGATGAGTCTTGCTCATCTCAAGTTGCCAAGTTTCACATATTTCACATCTTACGAACTCAGTCTGGCTGAAAAAAAAAATAGAATGAAGTAATGCTCTGTGCACGCAAAAGGATTAAAATTTGGCATGACCAAAGTGAACAGCAGCTAACAATCTTCTAAAGCATTTCACACTGAGAAGTTCATCCTACTTTATGAAAATGAACTTGTATGAAAAATCCACTGCTATGAGGCCCATAGAGAAGTACCACAACATTGGAGCTCTTCAACATATAACAGCCTAGGTCTTCACAACTCTTCAAAAAATCTGATATGCATAACATAATTTGAGTGCTTTGAATAAGTAAGCTTGATATATCACTAAAGACAAAGAGTAACACATCCCTGGAAGTGATCAGCATTAGTAAAAGATAAACGTACAAAGAATGTGTTATTTGATCTCTACTCCTCTCATAATTTCCAAGTTTCACAATTCTCATGGCATCAGTAACCAAAGCATCAAAACTGTCATAATGTGTGCAGGAAATCCTCTGTTCTCTAAACTACGAGGTTCTGCTTTGATGTACAATTCCTTATGTATGCCAAATACGCTCAAAGCAAGAAGCACTTCAAGCCACGCTATTAACTGTTACACAGGCTACACAATTAACATCAGAATCCCTTACATCAGAATGAGAGAAAAAGGGCTGGCAACTCATTTTGAGATCTATGCCCAGCACATCCTCTGAATTATTTCCTTTTTTTACAAATAAAGTATATTACCATCCAGAAGTCATGGTCACGATGAGAGCTGTTCCCTGAGCATAGCATCAAATAGGGCTAACAATTCACAAGAACTGAATGGTCCAGAAAAGAGCAGAAGGGTCAGTAATACTCGGCTCAGTGACAGACTACTGGCAAAGAATAGCAGCTTGGAAACTAGAGCACAGCTCCCTAAGAATCACAGAACAGTTTGGGTTGGAAAGGACCTTAAGATCACCTAGTTCCAATTCCCCTGCCATGTGCAGGGATACCTCCCACTAGAGCAGGCTGTTCAAGGCCCTCTCCAACCTGGCTTTAAGATGTTAAACAGCATTTGTTTAGCCGAAAGAAGGCAAGAAAAAAAAGACAACTAAGCTAAGTGGTAGATCTTCAATAATCCTCCTGTCACTCTCAGAGAACTGCTGCTGGTCAGTGGACACATCGCAACTCAAGCCACAGCTACAGAACTGCTAAGTAAGTATTTTTAAGGAAAAGACTAGCAGCTTAAAAAAAAAAAATCCACAAAAGAAACAACAGCAACATAAAACAAGACCAAACTAACAAAAATGCACAATGTTTAAAAATCCCTAACAGCTGCTTTATTCAACATAGGAAACGTTCACACATCCCCAATTCTGTATCATTTAAGGGGTTTTGATATTTCAGATAAGCAGCTCTGGGAGAATCTCAAGTGATGCTTATTCAGCACTCCAAAGAATGACAGGGGAAACAAAAATGGAAAGAGTAAGATATGAGAAACTACTTTTTGACAGTTAAGTTGCCAAAAATCGAAGCAGGAGAGTGTGAAGGATTAATGCTAAAGAGGAGCTGCTGAACATCATATTGAGAACAACTTCTTACAGCACATTTAGCTGCTGAATGGGTTTTTGAAAATACTCAAGAAAACTGATTATTTATGTCAATAAAAGAGCTATTCTTTTTAGAATTTATAGTCATGGTACTGGCTATGAAAACTCAATTAACTTTACAAATCTCCTGAGTGTCTTTAGCTTCACAAATCTAACTTTGCACTATGTTGTAGCCATGTTCCATGCAATTTTTTAAAATGTTCTTCTGGTTAAAATAATCTTATATCTCCTTTTACCACTTAAAAAAAATAATTTTATATATACTCCAAAAAAATTAACCCAAATAACTTTCATCATATCCAAAGAGAAAGCATTTGTACATGTAATCATTTTTAATCTCATGTTTTATACTGCAAATGTCTTTGAAATAGAAAGTAATCAGTATTTTCACCACCAGAGACAACATGTACCAAGTACTATACTTCAGTTTCCTCTGTTGAGATCCCTTACACAGCTCAACAGTGAGCAATATGCACAAAATCATAATTAAGCTTATTACAAAGCATGTAATGCTACAAGTGCTTAGCAGTTTGATTGCTGGATTTTACATCCAAGGCTATTCACTATTCCTGTACTCTTCGGTACAATCAGACTTCTGACCTACTAACGAATATTTGTATAAGAAATCAGGAGGTCTTCATTCAATTGCAAATACATTCCCATACTCTTAACTGAACCAAGTACCTTTACAGGTTCTTTCACAGTGTTACTGCGGTTATTGCAGTTTCAGAATATTTACATATTCTGAAATATAAAGACTCAGACAGGACTATCACTGGTCACACAATACATTTTTAAAGCCTTCAGGAAAACAAGCTGACATTTTATCCTCACATTTTAAATGGAAAAAATCAGAATGCATTTAAGGCAATCTTTCTGACCACTGGGTGCCACTCTTGTTCTGTGTAAAAGAAACGGCCTGGCATTAACTGTCTTCGCCATCTCCCCCCCCCCCCATAGTTTTAACTAATTCTGATTCTTCTGAACTGGAAGGAAAGATGAAAGAATTTTGACACTACTTTTCAAAAACCTTTACTAGTGTTTCCAGCCCCAAGAATGCAATTTTGAGAGAAGCCTAGTGCACAGAGACCCTTATGGTGTATGAAGGATTTTTTTTTATGGTGAGGTTATGTAATAACCTTGTTATGTCTAAATCATCACATCCAAAGGAATAGGGATCTGCTGCAATTGCTTAGTGCTGTATTGTCATTGCTACTACCAGCTTCATATTGAGTCTGCAAGGCCTCAAGACTGAGGATCTAAGCAAGCATAAGTTATGTTTGCTGTCCAAGCTTTTCCTGACCTGCGTGAAATCTTTTATTTTTTAACTTGGTGCAGGCTTAACAGTAATTTTTCTAACTGACAAGGTGTCTGTAACTAACCTGGTTTACTTTTGTTGATCTCTGTATGGTACAACCAGTTTTACATAAACAAGGAGTTATTCTATGTAGAATGAGATATTTATGACTAACACCATGAGGCAGCGTATAGAAATAGAATCACAGAATCATAAAATAGTTAGGGTTGGAAAGGACCTTAAGATCATCAAGTTCCAACACCCCTGCCATGGGCAGGGACACATCGCACAGACCTGGTATAATAGCAGACACCTTGAGAAGTGGAAACACAGGATACAGCATACAAAAGTACAGCCACTTGTAGATTAAGCTGTTAATATTTTAGTTATATTAACAACAAACTCTTGTTTGAATATTTAAGTTTCATCCTTATCCATAAATTTTGAGCGTAACACTTCTGTGCACTTCATCTATCACATCAAATAATCATTGCAGGCATGCTTACGTTAGAGCCCTACTGTTTAATACCATTCCTTACATTTCATAGATGAAAACATGAGGTACAGACTAAGAAGTGCTCACAGGAATTAATAAAATGTAGGATGGAAATATCTGCTCATCAGTCCAGCTGAGAAAATGAGGTCAGAACAAAGCTATGACAAACTTCACAATCCCATTATCCACTCCACCACCATTTAAGAAGGTGCAGGTATCCTTCCACTGTACTGGAGCCCAAAGGTGCTGCAGTCACAGAAGCAAATATTAGACCAAAAAATTCTCTGAAGTCATGTAAAAAGTGTGCCTGATCAGGGAGATGCACCACATTATTTAAACACCCAGAATAACAAACCAAAGTTGCTATCATTATGCCTCCTTATCCTATCCTCCTACCCTATCCTTACTAAACAAATACTAAAATACAGACTTTTGTGTCATACCATTTATTTAATCTGCAGTTCAAACAATACAACTAGAAACCACTTTTCCACTATCAGCTTTTACTTCAACAGATGACCTTTCCCACATCCCTGCCATTTTACTCTTCTGCTCTACAAGCTGTTTTGATAACAAAGAAAAATTACCTAAATAGTCCCGCTCTATGCACAACAGTACTGTAAAGTCTTGTAAAATACCTGTATTCAGGGTGCCTGTATTCAGGATGATCATCTCTTGGCCACCTGTATCCTGATTCATCCTGGAAAATATACATGCAAAACAACTGTGTGACATGGATCTTAATATCAGATGTCAGGTACAACTGGTTGCCAAATGGTACTTATTTACTGCAAAACCAAAGCATTTCATGAGCTAAAAGAAAGTATTAGTCATTCACAATAAAATTCCTCTCTACCCCATTCCTCCTATTTTCTTTCTTTATCGATACTTGAAGAGAACAACTTTGCAATGCTGTACAAAACAAAAACTACAAAAATTTCCAACTGCATACGTAGGAATATAATAAATATATAGACATAGGAATACGTAGAAACATAAACATATTTTTAAATAAAAATTTCCTTACTGAAATATAAATTATCACTAACAGTTTGAAATTACAGAATTTCAAAGAGCTGGATTGGACAAAGCAACAGAAATGACCTGTCAAAGGGATCATAAATTTTGTACTTAACTGTAGCTAATGGGGATAAAAAAATGCGTTCAGCATCATGCCAGAATTATTACAAGTGAACAACTGTGTGAATTAGAAGGACAGGTACACAATATTCAGCAAGCTGCATGTGCTAGGACTTGTTAAATAGAAAGACTTTCCAGTCATTCTTTTATTCGTCCAGGTAACTTTGCACTGCATTACTGAGAGGACTTCTGGACGCTTTTGTTTTTCCAGTTCAGGCTCTGAGCTTCCCATAGAGTGACACAAGGGCTCTTTTTTAAGTCAATAAAGCAGCTAGGAATCACAAGAAGCAACAAACAGGTATTACCATACAATCACAAGAATTTTAAAGCATGGTAACTGCAAAAAAGCACCAAGTATCAAAACCCGGATGTTTTTCCTATTAATTCTATTACAGTTTATGGGAACAGCAGTAACATCAATGCTCTGTCTGAAACAGTATTTTAACTGTTCAATATTCAAGCATTAACAAGAAGACAAATATCATAAACATGCAAGAAGAATCACCTTACGTACACCTCGATGTGGAGGGCCACTTCTTCGGTCATGGCCAAAACTGCGATCCTCTTCATAGTCTCTGTACTCAGCGTGACCGTAATCATTATACCGACTGTAATTCCCTTCTCCAGGTCTTTCAAGCAGTGGTGGTTTCTTGGGCCCAACGTTTACTACTCTATGGTAATTATCCTAAATCACAAACCAAACAAAATCATACTGCTTTTAACGGCTGGAAATCTGTAGTAAATATGCAAAAGTAAAACCAAAATATTATTTCCAAATATGGCACTCTAATAATCTTGAAGCTGAAATAGCACAGGGGAGCAAGCAACGTTAAAAATCATGCCAGTCTGGTGGTGGAATAATTTATTAGATCTAATTGGAGAGCATTCAGATGTAATCCCAAAGCATTAGAAGTTTCATTACAGAGGGAAAATTTTTAACATGGTTTAAGTCTCTTTTCAAAATTTAAAGCAGTAGCATCAGCTAATTTATTTGTCTAATCATTAGCTACATATGTTCCTCAGAGCCTTTTACATTAACTTAGGAATTCAACAGAAAGTACAACTGTAATGCCTGCCAAACAAAACACCCGTTAAAAGTACTAACAATTTTCTTAATGTCAGTAACATCCTCCATGCTATGGAGATTATAGAGAAGACAGTCCTTGCTTCACATCTACGTGCTAATCTGAGCAGATAAGCACTTTCTCAATGCAATGCAGTAGGCAATCTGGTTCAAGTGACAATGTTTTAACACTCAGTTTTTCTTTTAATGCAAGTCTTGTATAGCTTTTTGCTAGAATGCTAAATTAATTTATTGCATTTCCTTCAAATAAGATGTCATACACCATTTACCAATTACAGAAATCATACAATGCTTAGTGTTGGAACGATCATCTAGTTCCAACTCCTCTGCCATGGACAGGGATGCCTCACACTAGACCATGTTGTGCAAGGCTCTCTCCAACCTGGCCTTGAACACTGCCGGGGATGGAGTATTTACCACTTCTTTGGGCAACCTCTTCCAGTGCCTCACCACCCTTAAAGTACTTCTTCCTTATACCTAACCTGAACTTCGCTTCTGTAAATTTAATTAAACACAAATTGCACAGCTGCAAAAGAAACAAATTCAATTTTCTAGAACCAAATATTATACAAGCCAACTGCAAATAAAACGTAAACAAAACCATGAATGTAAGACCTTATGTTTAACGTCTTTTTCCTCTAGCAAGATAATTTTTCTATGGGCCTTAAAAACTCAAGCTATAAATGCAGATACATGAATTAACATGTGCAATTTGGATGGGGGAAAGATACTTAAACTGTTTTTTCTTTTTTTAACAGTGAAATTCAAACTCTAATGCACCAAAGGTTTTTGTAGAAAAATACATGAAATTCACAAACTACTAAATAGCATCATGCAAAAATTAGCTAGCTCTGAGTTCAGAGACCATCCCAACAAATTCACTAGAGGGCAATCCAAAGCCAGTCTACAGACGTTCTGATGCAAAGTAGAGATTACAGACACATTCATATGCAGCCACACTGCTTCATCTACCCTTGCCTCACTGAGCATCCTCCATGTGAATATTTTTTCTTAGTTTGGTGTCTTACAAAAAAGACGTTCTCTGAAGCTAAAATTAAGATGCTCCACGCTTAAACGTTACCCAGAAGTCCCCATCACATAACTATACTGACATACAGAAGGCTACTTACATGAAACCTCAAGGTGTACCCACTTGTGCTAAGTGCTTGCAATTTCATGCTATTTAGCAGGATCTGAAAGCATGTGTTTCAAGTATAATCTGTACTCGATATATAATTAGCACCCAGATTAGATTAGGACAACTCTCTTGCTCTCTCAAGTAAGAGATACCATTCTGTACCATTGTAATGCCCCAGGTCCAACATATTAACCTATCAGCAAATGCTGAGCGCATTCACACACTGAATAAATTAATTCCACTTTACTTGTCTAGTCAAAATTAAGTCAGAGATCTATACATGGACACAGATAAAATGGTACAGGCTTACAAGGACAGAAATTGCCTGCCAAATATTTTGAATCAGCAGAGCTGTATGAGAAGGAATTTCATGTCCACCTTTCAATAAAGCAGAGTGACACCACATCCTTGTTTGCCCATCTACTGAGGGTATAGTTCTGGTGCAGATGGATGGCATTGATTGTGATAAATGAGTGTATTCAAATAGTCCCTCCATCCCCAGTTCCAAACGCATGTACTATAAAGTTAGCACTGAACTAGAGAGTCAATTCTCCCATCAAAATGAGCTTATAACATCTTTTAAATTGTGAATTTTCATAACATATATGCCATCATTATTCTCTGGACAGCTTGAAAGACTGCAAGAACTTAGGAATGTCACTGTTGCAGTGGTTAAATCAAATTATCAATGTGTTAGTCAAGTCAAACATTGGTTAAAAAAAAAAATCTGTAAAAATATATTCTGCCTTTCTTTATGTCCTATTGCCAATGAGAAATATTTTGGAAAAGCAGCTAAATCCCCTATGCAAACTTATCTGATTTCCAGTTTGCTGAAAATGCAGAAATGTTGTTGCTGCCTCTAAAGAGAGTTAAATACATCACGGAGCAGCTAAACACTAATACACTACTCAATAGAGAACACTACATAATTAGTTACCAAGTTACCAACACTGGCATGCTTCCAAAACAGCAAGCTGAATGCATGGTAGAGGGAACCCAGAAAGTATGCTAAATCAGCTGTGCTATTATTCCAACATTCAAATTTAAAAGAAAAGCCAGAAAACAGGCAGAGGTATCTGAAATTTTACTTTGCCAAATGTACATTGCACAGCATGCAAACGGAAATGCCAAAAAGTATTCTTAATGATCTATTTAAGGTGTAATAGCTCAAAAAAATACATCATTCAACCCTGGCACACTAAACCCTGGGATTTTCTAAAAGCATTCTAAAGTTATTCTATAGCACAGCAAGCACAGCTTCTGTAGTTGCCTTCACAAGCATAACATACAGTAAAAGTCTCCATGCCTATAAAGTACATTTCCATCAACTCTGTTCTTGATAAGCACTTCCCTTACGATGCTCTAAAACACAGTTTCTTTAGCAAGGGTATATTTGTAACATTTATTATAAACATTTTCTTTTATACTTTAAGCATCATAATAAAAACTGCATCAGTGACAACAATACTGAACGTAGGCATTCTACCATCTCACAGCACTTCAAAGATGTATTAACATAAACAAAAAGTCTAGGGAAAAATACAACATCATATGGCCTTTGGTCCTCCAGAAGTTATTAAAAATCCTGTGTTTAATAACAGAAATAATTACACATACAAAAAAATCAATACATATATTCTAAAACATTTTCAACAGATTTGGAAAAAAAAATAATCCCCAAAACCAAACAGACAAGTTTAATTTTGTAGGCAACCTATTACCTCTGTGTAAATGCATTTGCTAGATTGTTGGCTTAAATGAATGAAAAAAGGACGGATCTTGGGGTATACTAGGAACTTAAATACATACATAAATCAAGCCCTTATGGTACAAGCCATGGCATAAAGATATAGTATAATGCTGAAGAAAAATGCTACAGACTTACATTAGGATGCATCCTTGGAGGTGGACGTTCTCTTGGAACTCTTTCATAGTCATATCGCCCTTCAGACCACATTTCATCTCTTCGATATGACACTAAAGACAATAAAAATCCAACTAGCCAAAACCAGACTCATAATGAGCAGAAGAGAGGATAGTAAGCATAGAAATAAAGGTTCCTGGACTTCTCCCAGTATAATGTATTATTCACAAGCCCTGTACATAAACTTATTTTTCTAATTAACACTTTTAAAAGTGAGTCTATCTATTTACAGAAACTAATGAACTCACAGTACGTTCAAGAACAACCAAAAAACTGGAAATTAGTGTGGTATAATCAGGATAATTACAGGACTTAGGTACTATAAACAGCTCTATTGAAATATATGCACATTGCAAATACCAGGTGTACATATAAATTCATACACACATACCTTATAGCAATTTTGATATTGCTCTGCTAAAAATAGAGGACTTCTTTTTAGAAAGAGTTCAACTCCTATTTATTAGATTGAAGAATATCTACATTTTTATATAATATAATAACTTCAAATTATTTCATCATTCTCAACCATCTGGACAGAGGTTAAAAGACAACACACCATCCAGTTAGTACAGAGCTCCATGTTTTAAATACATAAATGAAATGCATCCTTCACATGGAGATTTTTCCTGTTTTAAATTGCGAGCCAGCAGAACACAAAAATTCCTCTTTCCAGAAAAAGGTTACTTAGATAAGTAACTAAATACAGGTGGAAAAGAACCATTGCCATAAGAGATTCTATTCATGCTCTGTTAGACAACACAAACTTGAATCATAGAATAGTTAGGCTTGGAAAGGACCTTAAGATCATCTAGTTCCAACCCCCCTGCCGTGGTTCCAACCCCCTACCTAACACTAGACCATGTCACCCAAGGTTTTGTCCAACCTGGTCTTGAACACCACCAGGGATGGAGCATTCACAACCTCCCTGGGAAACCTGAAATCTTTCTGATTATTAAAAAGGTGACAAATTATATACCATACATCACTGAAAATAGGAAAGAAATTGCTAGAACTATATTTTTTGAAGTTTCCCTTCACAAAGGTAGTTCTAGACATTAAAAATGATCAGTAAGAAAAAGAAACAGCAGTGCACATTCAGAAAGAGAAATAACATTATCTACTTTCACAGAAAAACCCCCACTGAATATTGACTTATGAGGTTATATAAAAATATTATTACAGATGTGAAGAATCAACATGACACAAGGGTTTATTCACTGTCAACAGAAGTTGCACTGCCTCAGATACATATTTTTGTTAGGGGGCAAAAAAACCCAAAAATCAAACCAAACCAAAACCCTCACATACTTACTTTTCTCTCAGTTTTAGCAACTCTACTTCTGAATATCCATTCAATTACCTACAAACAATAAGAAACGGGAGTTAGCAAAATATGCATATATATTCATAACTGCATTTTTTCTTGTAAGTAAACCAGGCATTTGAAATCGAAATCTTTCAACTGCCCCCCACGATCTGTCTGAATTAGTACACAGTAACTCGCTACACTCAACTAACAAAGAATATGAACTACTCAGCTGAACTCACAATGCCAAAAATCTCGCCATGATAAACTGTTATAGATACAATACTTTCCTAATAAATTCCAGTTTTCTCTCCCTTTTATCATCTTTTAGTCACTACCTCAAGTCTCAGTTTTCCTTCCATTTGTTAGCAAAAGCTTTCAGAAACTACTATAACTGCTTTCTTAAAAACACTCAGAAAAATACTTAATATATTCACTTGATATTAATTTAGCTATCTTTGAATATCATTAAGGACAAAAAAAATAAGACTCAGCTGCATGTGATGAGAGGCTAATGAAAAGTCTTAAGAGAAGCTTTTCCTTTGGTAACAGTAAAGCCTGATGAAGTAGCTCTTTTCTCAACTGTTCTAAGCCTTCATGATCAGAGATTTTGACCCTACCAGAGGTACAAATGAGCCAGAGAACCCTCTTAAAACATTGTTCCATTTTATAACAGTCTTGACCTAAGTATGTTCCATAACCAAGACACCACACTAGTATGATGTAGCCTCAGGTCTATAAATCAAAAACTGACTAAACCAGTTGAGTTTGGTTGATCCTGGTTTTGGTAGGATAAGAGCTAGAGGGTCTGCTGTCCCTGCCCTCTCCAGTAATTCTGAAACCACTGGTCATATTGCTGTATTTGTTGGTCAGGCATATCCATCAGAAGCACCTTCCTGCCACTTTCACAGTAAACTCAACTTTTTTTTGTTTAGCTTTTGTGAAGCCTTAAAAATTCACATCAAGGGCCACACGTGCATTAACTGTTCTTAGGCCAACTTTATGCCCTCCTTCTCTTATCACCAGAAGCGATGTGGGACATGGGGTGATATCACCCATATCACTCTATCCGCTCCCACTGTCCCCACAGTCCTCTTTTCTTTGTACCTAGAACAGCACCTGGAAACTCCTGTGTGTTACATGTACCAGGGGCAGGGGACAGAATTAGCTGAAGCAAGACAAATCATTATGCTGGCAACAGCATCATGTGCTCCTTCTCAAAACCTTTGCCACTGGTCCCTCATGCCCAAGCCTTGCCCCAAGGTGGACCATTCCTTCTGTCCATTCCAGCTCAGGGCTGGAGAGCACCAGCCTCCCCTGGAGCCCACCTGTCTCTCATATGCCCCCAGACACTGGTACCTGAGGGCCAGCCTCACTCAGTTCTTAGACCAACAGCAAGTATCGAAAGCTGAATTTAGATAAGGTTTTCAAGTGGAGGTTTTTTTTGTCATTTTTGATATATACAGTAGTGTCCATGGCCTGCTGACTGCAGCAGCTACTTGAAATAGTTAATTGAACACAACAGTCAAAAGGCAACATGCTTCAGGTAAGTGCTGCTGAAGTGAATGCAAGCTTCCACATCCTGCTGCTCTGTCAGGCAAGCCACCTCCCAGCATCCCAACGCACACCACCAGCAGCAGGCACCAGGCACTGACATTCACGTACACTCTCTGTTATGTTATCAGGCAGCAAGGCTGGAAAAAAGCATTGCAAATACTCCCAGTTTTATCACTGTTGACTCACCTCACTGAAACTAGCACGAATTATCACCAGTATTTTGACAAAACAAAAGCATAAGCTGGACACAAAGTAGAGATACACTATCAGGAAAAGTCAACAGACTGAGGAAAAAGAATCACAATTGCATAGATAAGTAGTAAGCATAGAGGTGGAAAAAAAAAAAATCCAAGTGAGAATACTTTGCACTGAGAGAAGCGAAATGAAGATTAACCAGAGTACATTGCTCAAAATGCTGGTAAGGAAAAAAAGTAGGAGGAAACTAAACAGACAGGGATCAATGACATAAAGTAAGGATGCATTTGAAAATACCAAAAAGAAAAAAAACAGATGAAAATTAATTTCCCAGGATCTTGAGCATATTTAATCTGTTTCTAATGAAAAAAACAAACAAACAAACAATTTCTTAAATGACGTGACCTAACCCAGCCTTAATAACAACAACAAAAAACCTGAACTCCTGGGATTAATATGAGAAGATTCCACTAACAAGGTTTCAAGAGATCAAGGCTCACGTTTACTATGCTGCATTCACATCCATCTGTTCCCACAGTAAAAAGTTGTTCTACAATAAAGATTAAAAAACGCTACATTTTTGTTTCACACCTAACACCACCGTCACTCATATTGACTATTTTCTATTAGTATAAACAGCAAAGATAGTTGATATTTCTTTAATATAGTGACATATAATCACTTGCTACATTAATTTAAACAACCTCTTCCTATTTTTGATCAGATGGTTTTCCCTAAAGCAAGGTCTTTATTTTCCTCAAATAAAGACACCCCAGTGTATGCAGAAGCCAATCTATTAACATAGCACAAACTACTCTGCTGTGGCCAGCTGCCAAGAATGGCTTTGCTCTGATTATCTCAGCAATATATCCTGTTCTGTGCTCTGTAACCGATGTAATACAAAACTGGTTTCTCCATCAAGGAGATTACATGGGTCACTCAAACTTCAGATTTTTTTGCACAACTGGATCTTCTCTATCTATCAATCGTTTTTTATTTTTGTTTCCTAAATAATATATGCTAAAGAAAAATCTGACACATTTGCAAAAGCCCTACAGTACTCTTCAATATTTGTTCACAATTCTTGCCTGTTTACACTCACTCAAGACATCAGTTTTCATCCTGGCTAGAAATAGCTACTTCTCCAGGATTCACAATTTTCCAGTGTGTGCTATCAGCCTTCTGCAGATCCACATTTTTGTTTCAAAAACATTCAGCTTTCTAATCCAGATGTTCACATCTTGCCACGTGTGAGCAAAGCACAAAACCGATGCTGTGCTCTAAATGCAGTGGCAGGCAGCTGCCATACCTCTGATGCTACTGGGACATATCTGGCTTTATACTGTTACTTTGACAAATGCGGGCCAGCTCTGCCTCTCCTCCGCTTTGAAAAGCTCAGATTCTTTTGTATGAGTAAGGGTTAGGAGAAATGCTCAGAGAATTGCAACTTCTTAGACATATCATGGACAATTTTGCAACAGGTACTGCTTTGAGGACAAAGGCAGAAAATACCACCTTTTCGTCCAACAATTAGAATCTCTGTTTAATAATGCTTCAAAGATAATAATGCTTCAAAGATATCCCAGTATCTCTTACCCAGACAGGAAGCAAGACACACAACTGAGTCTGGAGGAACAAAAAGGTAACTTTCCTTCCCCCATACTTGGGACATGCAGAAAACACTGAACAGACATACTTCTCTACTGATAAGATGAAAAAGCAGAAGTGTAAGAGCAGAGGGAGAAATCCACCATAACAGTATATAAAACACTCTGAGGGTGGCACTGAAAAAAAAACAGGAATACAAAGAGAATCCATCTCTTTCTAATAACAAACGTTAGGCTGTAAGATTTTCAAAAGCAATTAGAAGCATGACTGCAACAAATCTAGTGTATTCAGCCTAGATATGAAATAGCTTGAAGGAAGAGGCTTTTTCCCAATCTTTCCTGACCCGTTCACAATAATTTGACTTAAAATAAGACAAACGAAAAAAAAAGGAAAAAAGGAAAAGAATATTTAAAGAAGCACTGACCACAAAAGTCAGCTCCCACCTCAAAAGGGGAAAAAAGCCAGAAATGTGTAAACTGAGTGAAATCAGCAGCAGCACTCTGATGAGGATTTACAATCCCTCTGGTTCAGTGTTCTTACCACATCCTTCTAATATATCACTGGGAGCAAAAGAAATGGAGGCAATGAGTTGAGGGTTATATTAATACAATGACTGATGTATTACTGCTTATCTTTACCTGAACACCTGCAATTCCCAACGTCCCATCCTTCCTAAGTGTCAGTGCTACCAAAAGAATATTCTACCAGGCTGCAACAGGACTGCTACACTAGCAACATCAATGAAAACAACTGCATGGATCACTGCCTCCAACGTGACTTTCCATCTTGCAGCACAAACATTTTTGCAACAAAATGTGTCAGTTCACCATACTGCTGCCACAACAGGTCAAAACTGCAATGTTTTCTACATTTACTCTTGGAAGTACCAACCAACCCTGAATATTTCACCCAAATAATAGTATTGAACTCTACTCACTGCTTGCACAGATTCGGTCAGTTTCCACGTCCTTTTGTGTCCTTCTGACAGAGACTTTGTTTCCTTGAAGTCCCAGACACCTCAGATAAAGAATTATTAAGACTACCCATGAAAACACTAATGCAGGGCAAAGAGAAACGTGGATGAGAATGAAGAACCATGGAAAGCACACGGATAGTGTTTAAATACTAATACAGGCTTTAAATCTACTACAGACACCCTGTTGTTAAGCTAAGTGTAAAGACTTATTCCAGTAGTTCTAAGGAAATCAGCTGAGTGACACACTTATGTCTTGTTTATCCTTCTAGAAGCATAAAGACACTGATGCTGCACCCTCATACCCACAAGACACCTCACTGGAAGCATTTACAACGTGGTTTATGCAGCCTCCAAACATTCGTTACCCGTTGTTAAAGTTTAAATTAACTCTCAGGCGTACACACAAGTGGGATCATCCTTCCCTTCAAAACAAAACCACAAATTAAACTGCAAACTGAGATCACTTGTGGGTTTAAAAAGGGGTGAAAAGATAACGTTTACAAAAGCCATTCCCGTTGGCACTCAGCAACCCCACCCATGGGCGCTTTTCCTTCCCGGTTCCTCCCCCCACCCCATCCCGCCACTTCCACGTACCCAGCCTCCCCAGAGACACAGAGGAATAAGGAACCAGGGTGGGCAGCCGGACGCAGCTCCCGAAGTCCCCTCGGGGCCGTCCCCCCAGCCCCAGGAGCGGCCTTACCGACGCTTCCGCGACCACCCGAGCACGTGTCCGCAGCGCGACAGCGGGGAACGGGGAGGAACAGGCCCCCGGGCGCCCCGCAACGCCTCACAGGGCAGCCGGGCGGCAAACCGCTGCCACGGACCGGGGGCCCACGTTGAGCACAGCAAAGCGTCACGTTCACTCCACGAAAGAGGGAGGTCAGGCAGCAGCTCCGAAGCACCGAGCACGGACCGCGACCCCGGCACCCCGCTCACCCGCCTCTCCCTGGCGCGGCGCGGCGCGGCACGCAGCTCCCTTCGCTACCGCCGCACCTCTACCGCCGCTTCCGGCGCTCCCCTGACGTCATCGGAAGCGTCCTCATTCCTTCCCCCATCGCTATCATCTATTGGGTGGGTGTTGCGCTCGGCGTGACCCGTCAGCGGAAGAGTGCCGTCGTGCTGAGGGGGCGGTCGGAGCGGCCGTGGTGTGGGAGGGTGCGTCGTGTGCTGCTGTCGTTTCGGCCGGTATCGCGTCGCACCATGGGTGCCCGTGCGGGGTGAGCCCCGCCGTGACGGGTAGGCCGCGGCCCCTTGAGGGGAACGGGGGGGAAGCTCTCGCCGTGGTTCGGTGATGGCCGGAGAGAGGCCTGGTGGGTGGCTGGAGCGGTTGTTTGCAGCCGGGGAGGTTGTGCGGTTGTGGCGTTCTGCGCGGGCCTATGAGGATACTGGAGAGGGGCTCTTCATCAGGGACTGCAGCAATAGGACAAGGGGTAATGGCTTCAAATTTAAGAGGGGAAGTTCCGGTTAGATATAAGGAAGAAGTTCTTTACTGTTCGGGTGGTGAGGCACTGGAACGGGTTGCCCAAGGAAGTTGTGAATTCTCCATTCCTGGTGGTGTTCAAGGCCAGGCTGAACAGAGCCCTGGGTGACATGGTTTAGTGTGAAGTGTCTCTCCCCATGGCAGGGGGGTTGAAACTGGATGATCTTAAGGTCCTTTCCAATCCTAACTGTTCTATTGATTCTATTTGCCCTGTACTATTTAAGTCACTATGTAAAGAAAAAACAGATTGTGCTCTCATAGCTTACTACATGCCCCTTGTGTAGGACAGAGTTGTAGCAAGTGGTTAATACCCTTCTCTGGGACCAAAGAGACCATCAGTTTCAACTCCTCGTTTACCACAGATTTTTGGTATAAGTTTGAGCCAAGTTCCCACCACAACTAATGGTTGTTGATGTGGGTCTAAACTCTGTTGATATTCTTATATTGGGGAAAAGAAACATGTTTTGATTTTAAGGATCAAAACAGAACTCAGATTAGTCAGCCTGAGAAAGCATGATGATTTGTGAGTCACTTTAACTGACTAAATCACAAATATGACCTTGCTGCTGTGCACTTAAAAACACACACAAACAGAAGTTCATGCTTAGGTTGGAGTGTTGACGAAAGCATCAGTAAATTCACTTGATGCTTCAGAGGCATCTGAACTATTTTGTTGGTATCCTTCTGTGTTGTGGGACAGAGTAGAAAAGCCATTTACTGAAAGTAGTCATTGTCTTCTCTTGTGATGCTTTCAACATGAGTGACAGACACTGCATTAAGCATATTGGATTCAAGCAAAACATACTCATGTACCCAAAATATTTTCCAGGAGTCTAAATCATTACTGACAGATGGCTCTTGTTAAAAAATGGGTTCTTTGAGTTGTTGGAAAAGACAGAAAAAGATGACTTCAAGAAGTCTTTGTAATGAGAGACAACTCTATCCTGAAATTAATATGTGAAAATGATAAATGAAGAAAACATTAATACTATAGAGAGGCTATTACATCGATGGGAGTTGTGCTCAATCCCATGAAGCTAATATATAAGCTTCCAGCTCATGCTTTAAAGTTAAGCAACCAGGTATACCCTGAAGATCAGAGAGGCCCCATAATAGCATTCACTACAAAACAGAAATGTTTTGATTTGTTGGAGAGTTTTAGCAAGGTGTAGAAGCCAGGTTGTGCATGACTCTCAGGGGAGGCCCCTGCAGCAAGTAGAAAGCTCAGATGGGGTTTTTTTGGGTGGAGGGAAGGGTTGTTTTTTTTTCAGCCTGGGAGGTGAAAACCTAAGAGCAGAGAGACTGGTGATCAAGCAGAAAGAATGTGATGAAAATGTTAAAATTGTATTGGGCAGTTCTATGAAGTTAGAAAGTCCCTCAAGTATGAGGTCTCTGAGCCTTGTAATGATGAGGCTGCAAAAGAGATGTGTCCCATCTGGACAGTTAGCTTAAAGCTGAAACTAGCAGGTTTTATTCCCCCCTTTGCCTGCCTCCCAGCTGGAAAACAGACCAGTCAATATGAAGCTGGCCTAGCAAGGCTGGCATCCCCATCATAAAGGGAAGGAGGAGCTATTGTTCATATGGTGTTGGCACTTGGTATCCCCAGATGGGCTTCATGGTGGTTTAAAAGACTGATGGGTTGGTTATAGCAGAGTAAAAATTAGCGTGTGATGTTTTAAGTTTTCTGGTGGTGGGAAGCATTGTTCCAGTGGTTGAATCTAAAATTACATTTATACTACTGTATTCACAACAGTTAACCGGAAATCTGCATGTCTACATGCTCAAGCTGTTTGAGAGATTGCTTTTGGTAGAATATTATTTTTGAATGTTCTGCAGAAGAGCTAGTAAGGAAGATCAGGCTTTTAAGTAGACAGGTGAATGACCCAAATGTTACCATTGGGCAAAACTGTCAGTATCTGCTGGGTTAAATAAGGTCTTTATGAACTATCCCAATGACCCCTTAGCATTTGGAAGAGAAAGTCCTCCTGCAGGTCTGTGGAAATATTCTTTCCTGGAGTGCTAAATGTAATCCTTTGCCATCTCAAACATGACCATGGTGATAGTCTTACAGTTATTGTACTTCCTTTTTTATTAAAATTGTGTCTGCTTGGCAAGTTGGACATTACAAGTAAGAAATCCTGGCACAGTAGTCCTAAACAATAAGAATTGCTAAGAATATTTGGGCAGTTGAAGACGGCAGGACTGTTTCACTTACATTTGTCCAGGGTACTAGAAACAAAGCTCTGCCTCAGCTGTCTGGCAGCCAGCACTCCAGGGTGCCACGCTCTCAGCTTGCTTCTGAAGAAAGTAATGTGCAGCTGAAAATGGCAGTTCTGTAGCTTTAATTTCCTATCAACTAAGCTGTTAGACCTGTAGTAATCTTCATGTGACATATAGTCTCTTCAGAGGGTTGCACTGTGATGATGTGGAATATGTAAGCTGACTGCTCTCCAATCATGCCATTCTCACTGGCATCTGTTCATTAGTAAGGTTCTTGCTTCATCTCCTGTTACAAGGTGCTCTAGCTTCTCTTGTCTTTTAGGCAGAGTTAAAATTGCTGTCTACTGACACATGAGGTTGACCTCTGCTATTTTCTCCTCTGCTGTTGCAATATATTAGCATTTGCAATATACCACAATGCAGAGCTAAGGTAGCTCTTACTGAATCTTTTGTATCCACTGTACATCTGGATAACTGCACTTCAGGCCATCTATTCGCATGGCACGCTGCCAAGTCAGTCTGGTTAGGCTTGTCAAGGATACTAATGCCAAGCAGCACGGAATCTGGAATAATGAATCCACTCTGCGTTAACACCAGATGCAATGCGTGGCCTTTTACTGCAAATTTATTCTATTTTCATTTGCTTAACCTTTATGTTGCCATTTCTGCTCATGCAAAAAAAAACAATCTCTGCACATGGAAAACCTCAGAATTGAGTCACTTGGAAACTGCCACTCAAATGAATTGCAATACAGAAGCATATCAGGAAAGAGAAGCAAAACATTTGGATAATCAGTGCCTACTGGGAATATCAAGTCTTCAGATGACTGAATCATGAAATACCAGAAAATGACCGCAGCCAGATTAGAGTGTGATACTAGTTATTTTGTTGGCACTTGGCCAGGCAGTCTGTTCAGACTCACTATCGAAACATCCCTGTAAGAAACTGTACTGTGACAGATGTTGATTTTTAATACATTAGTTTCTTTTATCTCTTCATCAGCTTTTGTCTTATTTTTTTAAATGAGGTGGTCTTGCTGAAGAAATGGCTTGATGCTCAGGAATTGGCTAGAGATGCCAAGAAGCAGGAATAAGGCTGTAGGGAACTGGATAAGGAGATAATTGGACTGCATAGGGAACGTGTTTGGTCTGCTCTTCTCCCAAGGACTGTGCTTTAGTCTGATCTTGAATTTTGCTTCTTGAATTGAGCCATGACTACAAAATGGATGAAAGGGAAAATAAATATTTTGCACAGACTTTAGCACCACTTAGAATTTTGGGAAATGTCCAAACACAAGGAAAAACATAGGCTGTTCTTTTTCAAGTTACCTCAGTTACTCTTCACCTAGCATTAGATGATGTGTATGCAGTTACAAGAGTGTTTTGAATTGATTCATTGTTTCCAGACACACAACCTTTCAAGAGGTTGAAAGACATTGAAAGAAATTAAAATGGCTTTGTGATTTCCCTCGTTCCTTGATACAGAGCAGCTGCTTGATCAGGAGGAGGAGGTGGTGGGGGGAACGTCTCTAGGGGACATGCTGGGATCAGCTCTGGACACTTGCAGTTCCTGAGCAAGAGATACAAGAGGAAATGTGTGCTGCTTTAGCATCTTAGATACATTTTAAAGTCAATGTAGCATCTTCCCCACTCCCACCCTCAATAATTAGGTCTCTGCTTCAGGGAAGCTTCCCCCTCTCCCGTAACCAGTTGTGATTTATTCTTTCTTAAATGCAGCTGAACCGAAACTTGTATAAAGAATCAGATCATGAAGGTACTTGAACAAAGGTCAATTATTTCCTATATTTGCCATAATGTTTGGTAAATGGATCTAACCCTTTATTTACTGCACAAATCAGCAGAGATTTATTTTAAGTGCAGACGTGTCTGTTTTTTCGTTACTTACAAATTGACTCACATGCAGCAAAAATGTACTTTGGATCCAGGAGAGGAGGAAGGAATGTACTAATTTCATGTAAAACAATGAAAGGGGAATAAAAACTATGCTTTCCTGCAACTTTATAATGGATGACTGTCTGGACTAGGTTTGAAAAACAACTTGAAGTTTTGCAACTGCTTCTTTTTTTTTTTTTTTTTAGTTGCTTTCTCTGTTGAATATAGTTTAAATCCTCTCTTTCTCTTTTCATCAGGAAAATGAGCGGTGGGTTGGCACCAAGCAAAAGCACCGTGTATGTGTCCAATTTACCCTTTGCTTTGACGAACAATGATCTGTACAGGGTAAGTTTTTTTAAGAGCTGCAT